AGTAATTGCTACTTTTCTTTAAAAAAAAGATAGAGAAGGAATAAGCGGTAGCAACTTAAAACAAAAAATAGCACAGGATTAATTAAAAGATAAGTACAAAAGATTGTTAAAAGTGTAAGTTTGGAGCACATGACCCTATAATGGGTGTGGAACATGGAGAATGAATGAGGCGGAAAAGAAGAAGTGTTGTAGGATACAGGAATATGATGAAAATCCCAAGGAGAAAATTTTTTAAAACTAAAATCCGGATAGTCCTAGTTCTGATAGGGTAACTACCCAGGTAGAATGATCCTAGCCACATCAAAAATGTAACGTCTCTGCGTGCTGTGGATATGTTACAGTTCACAAATCCGAGCCTAATCATGTAAAACATTTGATCGAGTTATATGATCCGGCCTTCATCCAATTCGAGCCTAATATAGATTGACAGCAATACCTTATTCCACATTCTCATTGAAAGACAATAAGGAATGTCAATAAGGAGGACGATGAAAATCCCTAGTAGAAAATTTGTCAGAAATTACATCCGGCACGTATCCGGATAACCCTAGTTCGGATAAGGTAGTGGTCAGGCAAAATGATCCTAGCCACATCAGAAATGTAACGTTTCTGCATGATATAGGACTGATATAACTCACAAATCCTGGCCTAATCAAGCACCATTTGTGACTCCTGTTAGATTACTCCAGTATGTGCATGATCTAGTTAAATGATCTGACTCTGATCCATTCGGGCCTCATAAGGCTCTGATAGCACTGGCTTATTCCATATTCTGATTGAAAGACAATAAGGAAGCCAATAAGGAGAATGATGAAAATTCCTAGCTAAAGATTTGTTAGAACTAAAATCCAACACACATCTGGATAGCCCTAGTACACATAAGGTAGTGGTCAGGCAAAATGATCCTAGCCACATCAGAAATGTAACGTTTCTGCATGATATAGGACTGATATAACTCACAAATCCTGGCCTAATCAAGCACCATTTGTGACTCCTGTTAGATTACTCCAGTATGTGCATGATCTAGTTAAATGATCTGACTCTGATCCATTCGGGCCTCATAAGGCTCTGATAGCACTGGCTTATTCCATATTCTGATTGAAAGACAATAAGGAAGCCAATAAGGAGAATGATGAAAATTCCTAGCTAAAGATTTGTTAGAACTAAAATCCAACACACATCTGGATAGCCCTAGTACACATAAGGTAGTGGTCAGGCAAAATGATCCTAGCCACATCAGAAATGTGATGTCTCTGCATGATACACCTTACGAATCCTGACCTATTCCAAAAAACATGTATGGCTCCTGTTAGATTACTTCAGTATGTGCACGATCTGATAATATGATCTGGCTCTGATCCAGTTGGAGTCCATAGGGCTCTGACAGCACTGACTTATTCCATAATCTGATTGAAGCACAATCAAGAAAACGAGACGTAGTATTATAAGGTACTTTGTGAGACATAGAACTGGTTGGAGACACCTTAGAAACAAAAGTAGAAGTAAAAATGGACATTAATATTTGTAAATTAATGTATGGTGAGGCATGTGGAATTTTCTAGTCTTCGGGAAATGCGATGATTGGCTTGGGAAAGGAAGGATGAATGAAAGTGACTATATGTAATAGTAAAAGCTTCGACAGGTAATGCTGGTAATAAAACAATTTGAGGTAAATCGTCATGCAAGAAAAGTACACCTGCAATAATATTACCTGCTCAAGGAATTTATATAAACAATGAATAGGTACTTAAGGTAAGCATGTCTTCTACTTAGGAATTATGCTATGTTTCAAGAGGGTCTCCAACACAATACGATAAAAGGGTTTGTTACAGTGGTAACGAATTAGAAATTTCAATTAGAGAAACTAAATTTTCCCAGAAATAGCACATAAAGGGCTAATGGGCAAAGAAATATTTAAACATCCAACAGGTACCAACGTTCAATAAGTTAGTCTTATTATACAAAAGTGTAATTAGACAACTTTGTCGGCAGGTAAATAACATTAATAATATAAATAGGTATACAACCGATAATCATCGTAATTGTACCTGGTTTTAATTGTAATAGTGTTTCTCTTTAATTTAACTGTAACTGATTTTGGTTCGGGTATCCTTTTCTTGCTTGTTTTTGTCACAAGACACTCGAGAAATAGTTACTTGTGAAAGTGCTTTGGATGAAGTAAACAAAAGGTTTATTTAGTAATTCGTTTACTTATTAATTCAGATGTATGTAAGAAGAATAAATGGACAATTTCAAAGTCAACTAACTCATTCGTTTCTGGTCATATCTCACATCAAATAGGTAAGCCAAATTTAATCAGGAATGAAGAAATACGTTTTAACATCGTTGGATAAAAAGTGAAAGATGGTCCAGCAGCAACCCTTTTCGTTTGCAACTTCATTTCATGAGATATGTACTTGGATTCAAATAAATGCACGTACGATTTTTAATAACCAACGAGTCACCAGCGCGCGTGCTAAATATGCGATTGAGTTCATGCTAGCCAAAGATAACCTTTGTATGTGTAATTCCTGGCATTTTTTAACGGAAATACACAGCAGCTGCTAACAGTACAAACAACTCTTCATACAAGTAATGTATAAATAACGACAAACAAAACAAGTGCTATATTAATTAAGGAATATTAAAACCCTCGTTAAGATTATTTTAATTAAATGAGAATGACAAAACAAACATTGGCTACATATGTTAATACTTATTGATATAAAAAAATGCCATCTAAATAAGGATTTCCTTAGGTTATTTGCTTAAAACGTTCATAATAAAACTTATTAATAGTGTAAGACTTGCATTCTTTGTAACAGAACGGAATTTGTCGAACAGAGACCAAAATAAAAACTTCAAATACAAGGAAAACTTTTGGTAAGGTAATTAAAAAAGAAATTACATTTTAAGTTACAGTTAACATCATTATCAGTAAGATCAACAATTAAAGATGTTATTGTTAGTCATTTTACTGGTACAATTTGAGCAGTTTTAGTTTCAAACTTTGAGTAAAACCTAATNTTCAAATAAATGCACGTACGATTTTTAATAACCAACGAGTCACCAGCGCGCGTGCTAAATATGCGATTGAGTTCATGCTAGCCAAAGATAACCTTTGTATGTGTAATTCCTGGCATTTTTTAACGGAAATACACAGCAGCTGCTAACAGTACAAACAACTCTTCATACAAGTAATGTATAAATAACGACAAACAAAACAAGTGCTATATTAATTAAGGAATATTAAAACCCTCGTTAAGATTATTTTAATTAAATGAGAATGACAAAACAAACATTGGCTACATATGTTAATACTTATTGATATAAAAAAATGCCATCTAAATAAGGATTTCCTTAGGTTATTTGCTTAAAACGTTCATAATAAAACTTATTAATAGTGTAAGACTTGCATTCTTTGTAACAGAACGGAATTTGTCGAACAGAGACCAAAATAAAAACTTCAAATACAAGGAAAACTTTTGGTAAGGTAATTAAAAAAGAAATTACATTTTAAGTTACAGTTAACATCATTATCAGTAAGATCAACAATTAAAGATGTTATTGTTAGTCATTTTACTGGTACAATTTGAGCAGTTTTAGTTTCAAACTTTGAGTAAAACCTAATCTTTAAATTTATAATAGATAAAAATCTCTCTACCATCTCATTATTAAATCTGTTTAGAGGTTTAGACATTTATGTTGTGAAGATGCACGAAAATTCCAGTGAAAGATGAACAAAATAAGAAAACACCATATCATCAATGCCTAATTAGCAAAACAAGTAGTCTTTTGTTCAAAATGCCTTATTACTGCCCCAGCGAGCTATAACAGGCTAATATGCGTGTTTATCGGCAATATATAACAAGTAATCATTGTAAGTAACATTGTCGAACATTGTGATAAGAGTGTCCGTCATTCCTAGTTTCAGTTGTTTGTTTTATAACGCCATAGTCGTTAAGTGCATCTTTCAGTGACCTCTGACCCTGCAATCTGCTCCGCTGGACAGGCCAATCCATTTATAATGGGCCTTGATTAGGTCACGACTCTGCGACTTTATAAAACAAACCAACGCCAACGTAACATAAACAGAGCCGTTTAAAAAAATTGATTCAGGTTGCACTTGATCCTGACCTGCTCTAATCGTAAAAAGGAGTATGTGAACAGTGTTTCCTGATACTGTCCTTTTTAACTAAACAGGTTAATATGCAGTTTTCGAGCACAGCAATCGGGAATTATTCCATTCTATTTAAGGATCAACATCAGATATCAATTAAAAGTTCGGTGATTTTTTTATTAATTACACGGAGACAAAGTGGCGGAATTTACCGTAGAAATCGTAGAATTTATTAGGTAACTTGTAATGATCTCAATTTTGACATGTTTTTTAAAAATTATCTCAAGGTTTTTAATTATTACAATTAAATTTGTAATATCAACTAAAATACCTAGTAATTTATTTCTGCTGGGATTTTATTTTTACAAATTCGGGTCCAAACTGTAATTTTCATTATTTTCGTTTACGAAGCAACGGGATAGTGGGATAAATTGTAAATATCGGTTTAATATTAACGTAAATTTTCCCATTTTCATCTTCTCCGTGTATGACAGGCAGTATAATTATTTAGAAAACTAAAAGATAAATGAAATGTCCAATTAATTTTTGTTTATATACCTACCTACATATTAAATGATTGAATAGCCCTTTAACGCGAAATAGATCGCAATTAACAACAAAATGTTGGCAATTACTAAACCTGATAGAACTTTTCATACTTTTTGTCTTAATCACACTAAAATGGTAAAAATTGATATTTAAATATAAAGGACAGTGTAATATCAGTGTTTCCAAAAATATTTCGAAAGTATTCCATACGGTATTTATATATATACATAATACAAAATCGTAGAAAGTTTTGAGAATATAGTAGATTGAACGCTAAATACTCGCCTAACTATTTTACGAAATAAAATGTAAATATCTTTTTGGTTCCTACCTTTTCTGTCACTTGCATGATGCCTTGTACGTATGTTGATTACAAGTCCGAAAAGACACAAAAATAACAAAAGCTCAAACCCTCTACTCCACATGATTCAGAAATGTACTCTCAAAATTCATTCACGCACTTGAAACGAAACATTGTTTCATTCATTAATTAAATTATCTAAACAATCAGCACTCTCGAAACGTTAAGGAAACAACGATTATTCGTAAAAAAAAATTCGGAAAAACTTCACTAGATATTTCCCGTTCGTAATCGAATTAGCAAACGTCCGGAAAATTGATTCGTAGTCGATCGTATCGCACACGTGTCAGGGTGCTTTTGGCGAAGAGCAACGCAGTCCTCACGCCGACACGTTTTCAACTAAGTTACCAACGTTGGTAAGTCGAAGAAGATCAACTTCTTGGGAGATCGCGATGCTGGATTCAGCCAGCACAGAAATAACAACTTGAATGCCCGCCCTTTTCGACTGGCATGCTTCTGTCACTTATAAAAGCTGTGCCAAGAAGCTTTCACTCGGAGCCGACTATGCACAACACACTATAAGGGTGTATGAAAGGCTGCATATTCACTTGTGAATTAGTTGTGTTTTCCATCAACAGAGCGCAAGTGTCGCTTACGAAAAACTAGAGGAAATCCTATACAGCCAACATCAAAAAAAGTGTATGAGAGCATTGAAATCGCCAAGAAAAGAAAGTAATTGTTTCTTTTTAATAAAGTCAACATCATTAAAGATAGTAGAATTGTAGGGATAGATATACAGGGGCAAAAGAATAGTACGCTAAGATTTGCAGATGATATAGCAAGGAGGATATAGAGATAGCTTTAAATAAAATGGAAGCGGTATTAACAAAACAGTACTGTATGATAATAAATAGAAGTAAAACAAAAACACTGGTATGCAAGGGAAGAAAAAGAAGGGAAAGAGCGAATATATAGATAGGAGACAAAAAATTAGAAGAAGATAGGTCGGTAGGACACCTTCTCAGGTCTAGTAAGAGACGTATTAGAGGCAGAAACAGGACTTAAGAGGAGTAGAGGTAAAGCTAAATTAGATTACTGTTCACAAATAGTTAAGGATGTGGGATATTCTAGTTTCAAGGAAATGCGAAGATTAGCTCAGGATAGGTAGGAGTGGAGGTGCGTGTCCAACCAGTCTTAGGACTGATTACCTTATGATGATGGATACAGTCATTTAATAGGTGTTACATAGAGAAAGTGCAGGCAACGGATGATAATTGAAAAAACTAAGCTAATAAAATAATTCGAAGTGGTCTGTATGTCTATGTCTGGAGCATACGTAATCCTAAAATGTATCATCGTGCTACAGACGGCGTTTACTGCGCCATTTGTAGTATTTTCTAAAACTAAGCTAGTTAAGGAAAATAGAAACAAAACCAAATGCAAATAGAAAATGTACAACTTAAGAATAAAGAAAATACAGAAAAAATGTAACAAGATAAAACGATAAGAGATATTGGCTGAAGACACTGGCAACAATAACAACAGCCCTAAAAACTAAATCAGAGAAAGAAAGCGGTTAAAGTCAGAGACTTTTGAAATTTAAAATTTTGAAGCAATGATAAACACTGATCTTTTCATCAAAGTACGATTTCTTCAGGTGCTAGGTGGAAGAATACTTACCACCTGAAGAAGACAATATGATCATAGGAGACAGATAATTTGTTTGTAAACAATGTGTGTTTAGTTTCATATTTAAAATGCAGCTACAAGAATCAAAAAAATTATCAATTCAGTAGTTTTATCTTATTTAGTAATCGATTGCGATGCATATATCTAACCCAGAACTGTCCATTGTCCAATTTTATAAATGAGATATAAAGTTTACAAAATAAATTCTCTTCTCAATCATTTGTTAATTGACAAGCTCATATTGATTGTTTCACGCTGTACATAACAAATATCTAAATTTTACAAGCGTACTTGCAATAAACTCTAACACCAGCTTTCAGTACGTTTCAAACTTATAATTATCTGATGCGAATTCAGTACCTATCTACATAAATAGCAGAAATGCTAATATTAAGTAATTGCTGACTAACTCTAGAATGTATTTACCTCCTACATCATCATCATCATCAACATGTTTGTATCAAAGTAGCAACTTTAACCCTTAAATAATGCATGAATATTTATCAAATTGTAAAATAATTAATTGAACGTTTATTTTAAACTCATTTGGTTTACTTACAAAGAGAACGTCCATTGAAATTTCACCAAATAATAAAGGTGTTTGTTACATTGATAAATAAAAAAACACATATTTAGTAAAAAACTGTTGAAAGAGAAAAGCATAATTCTTAAACTTACCGATTAAATAATCAAATCTGCAAAGTCCAGCGTTGTCTCCATTTAATTAGCACACCATTAACGTCAATTAATTAACATAAGTCATACCGTCGCGATAATCATCATTTAACACCTACGTCGTTCACGATTAAAACCCACTAATGCACGCACAGTATCCGACGATCATTACCACGAAAACCCGAATAAAACTGACCACGGCTTGCAACTGACGGAGACAACATTATTACTTTATTTAACTGGCTTGATCGTGTTTACGATAAAATAAGTAAAAAGAGAGCGTTTTTGCCGTTAAACAAACATAACGAAACGATAACAGACAAATTACCAAAGGACGACTGTAGGTCATAGGCATTGCTTTCTCTTTTAACAGAAGATATTGACACGTACGAAGAATACAAAAAATAAAAATGTTTATAAAATATAAAATATACAATTCACTAAATATATACGTCTTACAAAATATTCCATACTCAAGATTATTTTTAAAACGGAAATTTCGTGAAAGTAAATAAAAATCTTTCGAATATGCAATCAATCATCTAAATACTTACGAAAATTGATCTTTCTGTAGTTAAATACGTAAGAATATGTTTTCGATTGTGCAGTATGTGTTAGTTGAAAAATAAATCAATTAATAGTGTTTATGGTTTTATTAAGGAAACATTTTTTTCCATTAAGGTCACACACCGACATATCGTTTATTATAAATAGCTAGAGTATCTTTCTAACAATTGGTCAACAGTTTCATTGATACTTAAGAGAACAAAATGAGTATTTAAACATACTTACGTAAAGTATGTCGGCATGACGTAATACAATAGCTTTTATAAGACCTAGATCTCTATCGTTTATTAAAATTAAATTCACAAAATAAATTAAATTGCACAAACAGCTAATATAACGGAATTTGAAAGAGAGAATACATATAATACGTATACACATATTTATTAAGGGTAGTACAGATATTATATATTATTCCTTTTCGGAGACGAAGCTATTTTTGTATAAGCAATAAATTTTTAATACATTTTTATTTATACTTTTTCTCTCTAAATAAATTGTCCTTTAAGGTTTAATTCATACTTTGCGAAGAACTGACGTACTTTTCTTACATATTATGTACTTTTAGAAATTATACAGTCTGAAATTAATTAATAACTAGAAACATTTAANATAATTAAAAAAAAAATTAAATTAATGATAATTATCATATTCTTCGCATGTATTTACTCAACAACATTCTATTTATTCTGTCGGCTTTTGAAAGGTTTATTTGCAATTTTAATGCAACTTCAAATTCACTCGGAAAATGAATTTTTAATACAAAAAACATTATCTACAACATTTACCGTGCATTGCTTCAATTTCTTTGAAAATCCAGCTTATCAGCTAGGAACGATTTATGACGTTAATACTATTAAACAAAAAAATTTCCGATGAAGTTCGTACTTATCGTTAGCAAAGTTTCTTCCATATTTTTGTGAGTTACAACATTTTAGAAAACATCATTCACGTTTAACGTAGCACTTTAGATAAAATGCAAAGGGTAGATACGAAAATTATTTTATAAAACTAAAGCAAAAATGGATGGTGTGAAAAGAATGTTAGAGTCTGTATCTAACAGAAAAAATTGGAAATATGAGAAGTATACTAAAAGCTTTGAAAATGTGAAAACTGTTACGTATTATTAAATTAAAATTAATGCTTTTGCTTTTTAAATTTGTTTCGTTTTGCTTTTCTGATAAAATTAAATGATATGTTAAAACCCTGACTAGGCTGCCTACATGATAATTTTTTAGTTAACAAAATTACACACACCTAGGGGCAAGTGGGGTAATTGAGAACGATTTCTAGATATATATTTTTGATAGAATGTCGATCGTTACGAATTCGAATTCAGATCTTTATTGTTTAAATTCTTAAACCATTTGAGAGAAATTTATTTTTATAACATACCAAAACTTTTCTACAGAAACAACAATTTCTATAATTGAAATAAATAAATTAAACAAATAGAATAAGAATAATCTTTCATATGTTTTATAAACACCCTGCATTTTGACAGACGTTGAGTGATTTTCTTTATTCCATGTTTCATACGAGATATTCTCAATTTTCATATCTTTTTTATTAGATGTTCTCAGTTACCTTACTTTTCCCTGATAAATAATGTAACAATCCATAAATAACACTCTTTTAAATTTGAATTTTATCACTCCCCTGCACGTGGATATATTCTTCGCAAATAAAAATTGTATCAATATGAAAAAACTTTTATATTCAGTCAAGGAAAATTATAACCTGTTAGTTTTCGATATGCTGTTGATATATGTATATGTTATACAAACCGCAATCTTAGTGCCTTGTTTTCTTTCTTTTTGATACATTATAATACGTCTCTCTTTTTATTGACTAAGTTTGCGGTTTTTGATATGAATCGGTTTGTATTTATTTTATTGCCATTATCAGAACGAATGTTGGTTTTTGTGTGCCAATTGCATTGGTAGCTCTAACATGCTAAAAATTATTAACAAAGCAAAATATTTTACACTCACACAAGCTAACACTTCGTGAAATTACTCTCACTACTTAATTATTTATATATATTTAT